AACACCACCCACTCCTTGAATTTACGGAAATACCCTTGTGCTCGATTTTCTTACACACAAGTTTCAGTATACAACAGAGTCACACACGCAGGCTACTGAGCCAATCAACAAATATCTCTTCACTCTTTCTCTCCTCTCTCTCTCTCTCTGTGTTTTCTGCCCTCCTTTTTGAGGTGCCACACATCTTACCTCCTTAATTTCTTCAAATCTTCTTGTTTTTTGATCTGGGTTTCTTGTTTTTTCCTCTTTAGATCATTCTTAACTCTTCAAAGTCTCCATTTTTTCCTCTAGTTTTCATTTTGCTAATCAACTAACTCTTAGAAAGAGAAAACCCCATCTGGGCCTTACTCTCTTTTTAGTTTCAATGCTTCCCTTTGCAGATTCAAAGTAATGGGTTTCTTGTTAAAGATGCAAATACACTTTGTTTCACATCAGGTTAGTTTTTCTTTTTCTTCTTCGTTTTTCTTTTTCTTCTTCTTCTTCTTCTTTTTTTCTTTTTTCTCTTTTCTTTTCTTATTTTTTTTTTTTTTTCAATGTTTTGTGGTTTTGAATAAGTGTTTTATTGGACTGTGTATTGGTTTTTGTTTTGAAACTTTTGAAGTTTGTTTAGTTGAAACTGATTGTTCTTGTTTTGATGGCTTAGTTGAGTTTTAGTAAGTTCATAAGAAAATTAACTTTTGCTGCTTTGGTTTGGATCTTGCTTGCATATATTGAGGGGATTGTTTGTTGTTTTCTTAATTTGTTTAGTTGAAATTCTGATGGCTTGATTTTCTTGATATTGCTTTTTCCCCTAATTTGAATTTTTGTTGGGGACTTACTTTGCTTCTGGATTTGACCCTTACTTTGATTTATATTGGTTCGCTCTCAGCTATTGAGTGTAAACTTGTGTAAAGTTTAATTCGTTTTGCTCTATAATTTCCAATTATTTGTTTGTTTGTTCATTGAATGGATGTTTTGAATCTGTGATTCTGTTAATTTGTGATTTGGTTTGATTTGGAAGTGTAGGAGACAAGGAAACAAATCAAAAAAGCTATCAACTGAGTCTAATATGGCTTTCTAGCATCATTGAATTGAATATTTCATCTTTGGTAATCCCTTATAAGAAAAAAAGGTTTTCCTGCAATCGAGTGGAGGGTAAGGATGATTCATCGAATGGTTTGTCCGCGGACATTTTTTTTCAAGTTCTTTAGTTCAAATTAGCTTATGCATGAATCCGAGGTGTGTTTTGATGTCATTGAAGTGAATGAAGTCATACTTTGTTGATAGTGAAACAGAAAATAAAAATGATTTCATGCTGTTTGTTGTGATCCTGAAAAACATCGATTATTTGTGCTGTAATTTGTTGCTTGAGTTAGTGTTTTTAAGTTTTTACTTGATCTGCTATTTGTTGTTTCTTTTCACACGAGTATTAGATGCTCAAGTTGATCGCAACTTTCCGAGGTGTATTTTGATGTCATTGAAGTGAATGAAGTCATACTTTGTTGATAGTGAAACAGAAAATAAAAATGATTTCATGCTGTTTGTTGTGATCCTGAAAAACATCGATTATTTGTGCTGTAATTTGTTGCTTGAGTTAGTGTTTTTAAGTTTTTACTTGATCTGCTATTTGTTGTTTCTTTTCACACGAGTATTAGATGCTCAAGTTGATCGCAACTTT